AATATATTACTTTTTATTTTTAAATATTATTAAAAATATATTATTATATATATATTATTTCTATATATAATTTAAGAATATATTATTTTATTTTTATATATTATTAAAAATATATTATTTTTTATATTATTAAACAATATATTATTCTATTTTTATATATTATTTAATATATATAATTAAAAATTTATTATTTTATTTTTATATATTATTAAAAAAAGGTTTTATTTATTTTTATAATAAAAAATGATAATGTCATTTCATTCTTGTCCTATTCCTTCTATATACCAAACGCATAAATGACAAAACATGTTTCATTCCATTCTCATAATCATTCCATTCTTCAATTCATTCCATTCCTACGAAATTCCATTCCATCATACCAATCATGCCATTATATAAAACTAGAGAGAAAAAGAGAGAACAGAGAAAATGTTTCTCTTGGTTGTATTTTCATTATAACTGAAAACTTCTGATGGCACAATCGTAATGATACAATTACATCATGACAAAATAGTCATTCACATAAATATAGTGCATGCACCATTATTATAACACTCCCCCTTGAATGACTATTTTCTAAATATCATTATTCGAACATAATCTGAACATCTTAAAGTTTATCTTGTGTCCATCAAGTACCGAAGCTTCAACATGTCAGAAAAACCAGTTGGGACAAAACTTGATCATTTTATAATCAATCCATTACTCCCTTAGGAAAACCCGGTGGGACAAAACCTGAGCATTGTGGAAGCATAACATTGCTCCCCCTCAAATAGATTATCTTTAGTGGAGTATTCACATGCTGCCTCATTAAAACCTTGTCAAGAAAACCCAATGGGAAAAAACTTGACTGAAGGAAAAAGAGTACAACTACTCCAATATCTTCTTATCATCATGAGGAATCATATCATTTATTTAGTAGACCTCATCATACCATGAATATGCCTCGTTAAAACCTTATTAGGAAAAACCCAGTGGGACAAAATCCTAATGAAGGAAAAAGAGTACATTATTCATATAAATACGCCATCCTTGTTGCCTCATTAAAAACCTTGCTGGGGAAACCCAATGGGACAAAACCTCAGTCAAGGGAAAAATATTACAACGCGTATTCCATATATTCATCATACTAATATTTCCATGAGTATCACAATATCAACGCTTCCACCGTATTATTCCACCATCATAATATTTCACATATTTCACCTCCATCAGTATCATTCAGTTTATTTGCACACTTCCAGTGTGATAAATTTCAATCATTGATTCTCCCCCTCGTCTTAACAAACATCTGATATATATTTTCAATATTGAATTTCTTGAGAGAAGTTCATAAATTCTCCGTTTCATTCTCGATTTCAATATATATATATATATATATATATATATATAATAGTATATATATATATATATATATATATATATATATATATATAATAGGAGAACTTTGAACTTATATTACTTGTAATGTGTACATTTTCATTTCAATAGTTCATTCATATCAAATGAGTATATTACTAGCTTTTTCATATGACACTTATTTTCATTATCTCATAATCATCTCGTAACTTCAGGTTACGTGTCATATGCATATTCATTGCTCAAAACATCTTGTAACTTCAATTTACGAGTCATATAATCATGTGGCTATCTAGTGGATTCATAATATCTAGTACCACATATGTAGAGGTAGTAGGCCCATATATCGTACCCCTTTTCATATTGATTCACAAATATTTAGCTAGTAATAATTTTTATCAATCGAGAACAAATCATTACATATCATAAATCATGCAAACCATTATCATTTATAGCGGTAAACATCACAATAATTCATATTTATCACAAAACATATCACATCATCTTTCGGCGGCAATAAATGCACTTCTAGTGCACCCAATATTTAAATTCAGAATCGTATCACATGCGTATCATGCCTAAAGACTTTTAAACTCTGTTTTTAGAGTCGTATTGCATACGCATCATTTCTATAAATTATCAGGTAAATCATTCAATCTTCCTTAACAAAGGTCCGAATTCACAAATGGATTTAGCACTCTCAAATATCCGTAAATATTATTCTTTTCTCCCAATAAATATCATAAAAAGGATTTATCGATCTCGATTAGAAAGATTGAGGGTGCTAATGATTAATAATATTCCAAGTGATATTCGATGGTTGATTGGAGCAAAAGTCCGATTGTCTGGAGAGTTTCCAAATTCATACAAATATATGTCAGGTATGGGTAAAAGTACTTTTGCAAAGAAACGAAAAGCAAAAAGATTAGGTGGATGCTTCAAATGCGCTCAATGGACTTGTGACACACGATGTACATCTGTGGGGTTCGTGTCCAAAAATCGAGAAGATAAAATATCATTTATAAAGGATGGATTGAGTAAAGAATCTATGGATCAAACGATTCAACAGATTCTTGAGACACATCCTAGTGGTTATGTGCATCGAGAGCTTATATCTCTATGGATTCATTTCAAAAATGAAGAAGAATGTTATAGTCTCGAAAATATTGTTTCAAAAGATCAAGTTTGTAAAAATTGTTCTTGCTAGTATGAAAAATACATTTCTGTATTTTGTACTGTAATTTTCAGAAAATCTTATAGCTGCCGACAGATAAGATTCTTTGAAGAAACGCCTTATCTGTCGGTTATCGTTTTGTGAAACATCCCTTTTAAATAGCGAGTCATCCATCATAATCATATAACTCACAAAATTAAGTTTATCAATAAATAGATGGATGTTTCAGAGTTTTCTCAAGGTAATAAATTTATTCATCCAATCAAAACCATGTGTGTTCTTGGTGGTTCTAAACTGGTAAGTTTTTCTCAAAATATTGATTTTGTAAGTCAACTAGTAAGGGAGATGGGGAATCGAAAAATCAATTTACTGTATGGAGGGACTAGCATCACTTTCTTTGATAACCTTTTAATGGCTGGAAAATGTTTTGATATGGAAGTGAAAAGTGTCATACCTTTTCATAGAGCTTCAACAAGGGTCATCAAAGATTCCACAAGTTTGATGCTAACTCATTCTATTTATGACTGTATGATGGATATGGTGAAATATAGCGATGCTTTTATCATTCTTCCAGGTGGTTATGGAACTTTAATGACAATGTTTACCGTT